CAGAGGTCGACAAAGCGAACCATTGAGCCCTAGATTTATCTATACAGCGATTCAGAGTCACTACCAGGAATACCGACGCTATCTCATGGGAGGGCTATCTCATCAAATCCTCGCTCCGAAACCTCCGGAAGCTGATTCCTGCGAGACGGACATGACGCACTACTGGGTTACTGCAAACATTCCCCGTTAGTGGAAAACTTTGAGCCTCCGTTGAGTAATCCAGTTGCAAATCACAGCTTTCCCCCACCCTCAATGTAGAGAGTTTGGGAGTGAGTTAAAGAACGCAGTGATGTAGCAGTTGAAGTTCAGCTGCCGAAGAGGAGGGGAAGGGGGCACAGTAAGTGTGGCAGGCCTGGGTTTGGGGGAATGAAAGGAGTGGTCGAGAAAGTGTGGGGACTGGAGGAGACTGCGGAGAAATGGAATTGGAGTCTTTCAGATTATTTCTCCCTCCAAGAAATTGCCGATAGAGTGGACCTAACAAATAAACATATTAATATGCTGGCATCTGAACAGCTACTCCGAATAGAGTGCTCAGTTCGAAAGCTTGCCAACTGCTCAGTGTGCTGGTACATGCTGGCACCCTGGCACAGGTTCAACAACAACAACAACAAATTACATTTGTACAGCGCTTTTCACGTCAGGAGGACGTCCCAAGGCGCTGGAAAGTCAGGGATTGGCATCCGAGCTGGTGGTTGGGATCAGGAGGGGTGGAGGGCGGGGAGGGTAGGGGTAGGAGGGTGACCAAAGGTGTGGTCGAGAGGATAATAATAATAAAATAATAAAAAAAAGTAATATATATTAATTAATATTATAAAAACTAATAAAAAATAAAATAATAATAATAAATCAAGTGCCTCAGACCCACCTTGTTGAGATGCCTCAAAGCGTTTCACAGCATATACTGTAAAGCAAATTGCCTGTCTTTTGTATAAACCACTTTACACTAACATTTAATCGGCTGGTTTGACATCAGGGTTATACGGAACACAAGCCCGTTTCGCCAGGAATCGCTTCACCCCAACAAGGAACGAGATAGCGGCTCGAAAAGACGAGTGGATTTCATTTGAATGACTCCGCCCAGTCCAAGAAGTCCAAGAAGAGCGAAAGCCCTGTTTTATTGATCATTTCATATCTGCGTTAAGACAAGCCTCGTGTGCAGGGAAGCGGGATCACAAACTCTCCAGTGAATTACTTGTGCACCATTATCCACGCAGGGCTCGATGGGCTTCGTAAAATGTCAACTTTCATGAAGTACAATTGTGGAACTCGCGGCCGAGATAAAAGTGGACTGAAATTGAGCATTTAAACCCCGACTGAGACGCTTTTTTCTGTGCGTCGGCCCGTTCCGTTATTTAATTTGGCTCACGTATTGCTGTGCTAAAGAAAGACCCTTTCGCCTCACAGTAATAAAGTTACGGAAACACCAGGAATTTTTTTTAAAAAAAATAATAAATAATAATAATCCTTGCATTTGGTATAGCGTCTCATCGCATCTTCGAGACGTCTCAAAGGTCTTCAGAGAATATACCGTAAAGTGAATTGACTGTATATTTTGTGGGCCAAATGTATAATAATGACCCGAAATCCACTAAAATAAAGAGTCAGGCGAAGAGGTAGAGAGAATGCGACTTTGTGGTGTGATAATTATCACGTGGATCAAAAATTTAGTTAATATCTATTCTTATCTGCAGGTTTGGCAGTGATCATTTCAAACCCCCCACCCTCCTGACTTCAAGAGATTGGTTTCGTCCAGAGCTGCATAAAATTCAAAGTTGTGCTTTTCTTGAAGCTGGTGAGGAGTGTGGGCTAATATTATTTGGGGACTGTTTGAGCAGCAATGCAGCGAATAGGGTTACGCTTGCTGGTGACACCGCTTTGTTCAGTCAAGAGACTGCAAGTGGCAACGTGGCATCAAAATCAAAGGCGAGAAAAGAAAGGGTGAGAAAGAGAGAGCAGAGCACACAACGGTGATAGATGAGAAAAAGGCAAATGTAGTCTAATTAAGTAGAGGCGTTAAAAAGCAAAGTAATTGGATGTCGTTAACTGAGAAGCAATTTTTGAAGGCGAGAATGTTTGCAGGGAAACTCCACATACATCAAATGGGATCACATGAAAGGGCCTCGTGCATTTTGGGCTTCAGACGATTAAGCTTCAGGTGAATAAACCGCCTACTCTTGTGTCGATATTCGTAACCTTCAATGAAGGATGTGGGAGGTGGAACCAGATATTTTTTGCAGCCTGCCTGCTCCCAGCGCATGGTACTCATGTCAATAATAATAATAATAATCCTTGCATTTGATATGGCGCCTTATCACATCTTCGAGACATCTCAAATCGCTTCACAGAATATGAAGAATATTCACATGAAGGGCACTATATAAATGCAAGTTGCTGTTGTTATCTTAAAATATTGTTCTGGATTTACCTTCTCTATCCTTTTGAACAACTGATACACCTTGAAAAAAATGTTGCCTCCGAGATGCCACTTTCCAAGGTTGAAGGATTAAGATCAACCTTCAAATTCAACAAAGAAAGGCTGCAAATTAAGTGTCGCTACAAAGGAATACTCCAGGGAGCGAACACTTTTTAATGTATGTATTAGTTTTCAAATTCAATCACTCAAAACCAAAAGCATCTCAGTGGCTCTTTCTTAGATCCCTACCGGGTTGTCATTTAATAATAATAATAATATTAATCCTTGCATTTGATATGGCGCCTTATCACATCTTCGAGAAATCTCACAGAATATATTGTAAAGTGAATTGACCGTATATTTTGTGGGCGAAACGCGGCAGCCAATTGTGCACTTCAGTGTCCCACAAACAGCCGTGGATTGAAATGACCAATTTATTATTATTATTAACCCCGGAAAAGCGATCCGCCAATCGACTAACAATCGGGTTCCTACTTACTGCGAGGCAAACAGAAGCGTGTGGAGTAAGGAAACCTGCTCAACATTTTGCCCTGCCCGGAATCAAACCAAGGTCTCTCGCTTGCGAGGCGAGTGCTCTAACCACTGAGCTACAGGACCCTGAATCATTTACCGTCCGAATCAGTGAAGTAACAGCAATGTACCGACGTCACCAACCCAACCCCTGCCGAGCACATCTGCTTCCTAGTCCCTGGTGTGGATGTGGGTTTCAAGACCAGTTAGGAGCCATTCATTTTCACTTTTTTTTAATGAAAATCTACTGCGACTGATACTGTGCTGCAATAGGAAAACACAGCTGAGGAGTTGGTTCGTGTCCAAGATGGTGAATGAAGACAATTGCTCCTTTTTTTTCTGCGACTGTAATTATTTCTGCCGAATATTGCGCCATCACTTCGCAAGTCTGGTTCCCTACGCATTGTCGGATGAGATCGACTGAGATGAGAAATCATTTCAAAAACAAAATTTAAATGCAATTAATTCTAAACTTACAGGACTATTCTAAACTTGGTTCCCAATCAGACGCGCACCCTAAGGAAATACTATTTAGCTTTTTCTTTCATTCTCTGTGCTACAGCTGCACACGATCATGATGTTACCAACATGTCCAGAGAGTTTATACAAATAATATTGATTATTGAATATCCTTGGCTTTGACATAGAACCTTATCATGTCATTAAAATGTCTCAAAATGCTTCACAGGATTTTAATGTAAGGTGTAATGACTGTATTTATAGGCGAACTTGGCAGACAATTTGCGCACAGCTACGGCCCCACAAAATGCCATGACCAAACTGTGGTGTAAATTGTATTGTATAATGCTGAACTGTCTCAAAGTTCTTCAAAGATAATTGATGCAAAGTGCAGTGACTGTGCACTTTGTGTTGGATCTTCATAGCGAGAGACAAATTTAAAGACAGTGAGCTGTATTCTTGCATGATTTCCTTCCGCACATTGTGCTGTAGTTACATTTCGGAAAAGTATGAATTAAATGTCTGATTGACAGGTGGTTTTATTCTTTCCATCTTTCTTTGGAGTCCCGGGAGTCACGAGCATAGACTTAGTTGGAATCACTGTCATGCTATTTTCAAACCCCTAACACACACACACACACACTCACACACACGAAAATCAGTAACATAGAAAGCCTCTCAATCAGCGATTGAACTTGCACTTCGCAGAAATCCAATTATACAGTAGGAAACAACCTCGGCCTTTTCCAATTTAATTATAGCCGATCAAGATCCCAGATCAAAAAAGACTGAAGCATCTGAAAGTAATTATACTTCAACAATACCCTGAAGTGCCGGAAACATTGGAGAATCCTGAATGTACAATGGAATATGACACGAAGCTTTTACACGCTGCAGCTTACACTGTACTTCTCAAACAACTACCTTGGGAACTTGAGGCGACATCGTTTCCAGCCATTAGATGGCGCTTGGGCCGGTGGCAACCATTGGTATGGGCTGCCACTCCAGTAGTTGAGTGCTCAACATAATAATAATAATAATAATAATCCTTGCATTTGATATAGCGCTTTTCACGTCGGGAGGACGTCCCAAAGCGCTTCACAGAACACACTGTAAAGTGAATTGACTGTATATTTGTGGGCGAACGCGGCAGCCAATTGCGCATAGCAATGTCCCACAAACAGTCGTAGATTGAAAATGACCAATTTATTATTGTTTTTGGTTTTGGAGGGATTATTATCCCTCCAAAAGGGAGTAAGGAAACTTGCCCAAGGTTTCGCCCTCTGCCTGGAATTGAACTCAGGTCTCTCGCTTGCACAGCGAGTGCTCTAACCACTGAGCTACAGGACTCCACAACATTGGAATATTCTGATCCTTTCCTCTCAAACCCAAGACCCCCAATTGTTATTTGGTATCAGCCTGATCAGTTGGCACTACTGCTCATCCCTGAACCGGAATTTGTGCTTTCGAGATGCATTTGGGGGATTTTGAGCTCCAGGCTCGACGTTCCAATGCAGTGCTCTCAATTCATTTCCCTGAACGGTCGACAGATTTGTGCTATTCCGAAAAAAACACACTACAAAGAATTCTCACTTACCCGGCAATTGCCAAGTTCTTCAGCTGACAGTACAATTGTTCCGCATTTCTTCCCTGGGATTCCTCTGGACACAAAGAAGGAAAAGACATGTGAATTGCTTGACTCCATTCGGTCACAATTTAAAAAAATCCTTCATCGGAAATCGTGACATAGGTCCATAATAAATTACAACCGATCTGGGTAACCCAAGGGAATATAGTACGAGGAAGAAGTCAACCGCAGTTTGCTATAGCAAGCTAGTCAATTTACTTGAACTTTTCCTTATTGTAAAGCCATCTGTAATGTAACCCAGTTATGTCAAGACAATGAAATGCCAAAATCTGGATTTTATCTCATTTTGGCCCACATCCAAAACTGTGCAGAGGAGGCTAGCTTTCTTCTCCATATCTCTGTTTTCTTAAACGAGTCCCGGCCTCAACCACCTTCCTGATAACCTGTTCAAGTCGTTAATTACTCGCTGAGCATAGAAATACTTCCTGCTGTTTGTCCTGAACCTGTGCACTCTTGTTCTGCTTCCCTGACACTCTGAAAGAATCAGACCCTTTGGATCATTCAACAAAAAATGTATTGCACTTGTGAACACCTTTTCCTTCTCGACCGCACAAATCTATATCACGTCCCCATCACTGCAGAACCTTTTATTGCTATTCGGGCAGGTATTTCCCATTGCTGCAGCCAGTTGGGTTCACTTGTAGGAGCAATCCACAGATCATAAAGGGGTAAGCAAATGTGTTACCAATAATAGTCTTTATCACAACGTCGAGACATCTCAAAGTGCTTCACAAGATTTTACTGTCAAGTGTGGAGACTGTGTATTTGTAGGTGAATGTGACAGTCAATTTGCACACAGTAATGTCTCAGTAACAGCCATGAAATGAGAGATCAGTTTTATTTGGTGATTAGTGGCCAGGACCCCGGGGGAGAGAGAGGGAGAGAAACTCCCTTCCCGTCTGGTTGTTTCTGTACATTATAGCCTGGGGTGTCACCCATTTTCATTCAAGAAGGACGACCTAGACAAATATAAGCGTGCTTCTCATGTGCTTTGAGAAAATCCTCTCACTCCCCTCAATAAATCACCTCAAATGAGAGTTTTCTCTGCAAGGGGACAAAAAAAATTCGCAAGATTGTCGGTTGCCTCTGCTAACAAGCTGCCTGAAACATGATGTTTTATTTAGCATTCGTGCTGATTTGATCCTTCGCTGATAGCTATATAAATGTGCCAGGTGAAAAAATTCTTGCCACTTTCTCCGACGAAATGCCAGCCCTGAAATTATCACCACTGTCCCCCAGCATTCAAAATCATTTTGATATATGGCACCAAATATATATTTTTGAATTGAACGCATTTGTAAAACGCTGGTGTTCCAGATGATGATTCCCACGGGAACCAAACAGACACAATTGACTTCCCCCAACCTGTCTGTTGCTTCCGCAGTGCCGGCCGGTCCGAGGTTTGTTGGTGCCTGTCAGTCACCGAGACTCTTCAAATCATTTCTGCCCGTTCTGACACTGAGCTGGAGTCGATCCACGAGAAGGTTCGCAAGCTACTGTTTTTGTGTTCTTTAGGTTCTTACACAACGGAGATATCGCAGTTTAATCAGGAGATGTGAACAAATGGTCTCTCATCATATTGAAACTAATAAATCTCCATTCGCTCCTCCTCAACAAGGTCATGTAATAATAATAATAATAATAATAGGTATTACATAAGGTAAGAGAGCAAGGTAAGGTGTCAGTCTGGCTCAGTCAGCACCGCTCTTGCCTCTCAAGTCAAAATGTGTGGGTTCATGTCCCATTGAACATTGGGAAATTGTGGGTTCAAGTCCCCATGTTGGGACTTTTGAGCTACAGCCCAGGCTGATACCTCCACATGTGCTCGGGGGTGGTGGTGGAGTGGGTGAGGGGGAGGCAGGGAGTGTTGCATCGTCAAAGGTACCGTCCTTCAAATGGTACGTTATCCTGAGGTTCCGTCTGCCTTCCCAAATGGAAGCTAAAGATCCCGCGATGCGACTCGAAATAAAAGTGTCCTGGATGACAAACACCCAGATAAAACTAGCCGAGCAAAGTGGAGAGCGACGCGACAACAAATATAAGCGTGCTTCTCGTTGGATAATTTACTGAAGCTGGATATAGAGTGAAGAGCTTCCCGCTGCTTCCTCTGCTAAAAGCTTGCTGAAAGGGATACCATGATTGACAGGCTCTCACATAACAGGTCCTCAAACATATCTCTAACCCACTTTGCAAGTACAGAGCTCAGCCAAACTGGGATGCTGTATTCACAAGGACTGGAAAGTAGAGTATATTAACATCAATCCAATCCACGTTCCACCATTTGTTCACTTCCAAACAAGATGCTAATGAGGGCTGACAATGAATACTGAATTGCTCTTTGTGAATATTAAATGACTTGTGGAATATCTGCCAGCCATACAGCAGGAGACCGCTTGAAAATAACGTGAGCATCATTTTGCTCATTTGCTTGTTTTTGAGCAACTAATTTTAAATACCTTTGAAAAGTAAAATAATCTGCAGGTCAGACACTGAGTTGCATACATAAAGCAAGGTAGTGTAGTTTTGAAGGTTTTTTTCCCAATAAGTAATAATCCTCGGATTTATCTAATGCCTCATCATGTCTTCCTGATGCCTTAAAGTGCTTCACGAGATTTACACTAACGTGTACTGACTTTGTATTTTGTAGGATATACCAGCCAATTTACTCACAGCAATGTCCCTCAAACAACCATGAATGACCAATTTTATCAGGGGATTGCTAGCCAGGACAGCGAGAGAAAATCCTTTTTCTTTTCGAAAAGTGCCATGAGATCTTTAACGTCCACCCAAATAGGCAAACATGATCTTAGTTTGATGTCTCATAACAATAATAATTCTTGCATTTGATACAGCGCATTATCACGTCTTCGAGACGTCTCAAAGCGCTTCACAGAATATACTTTAAAGTGAATTGACTGTACACTTTGTGGGCAAAACACGGCAGCCAATTGAACACAGCAGCGTCCCACAAACACTCGTGGATTGAAGGGACCAATTTGTTATTATTATTATTATTATATCTGACACCTGAGCTCAGAGTACAGGAATGTCACAAGCTCCTATGTTCAATGAGAAGTTTGCGAGAGCAAATTGCATGCAAATATTCCGCATCTTAATGAATGTAAAAAAAACCCAAAACTGAGGACTCATTGAAATACTTATTAGAAATTGATGTCTCTCAACCTGTCCCCAACTAATCCAACAGGCCCTGAATACTCAGTGGGAATAATCCTTGCCCTGAGTGACTGGACAGACAACTCATCCCTGACAGTTACAGTCAGAATCACGGTGGGGACAGAAGGCAAAAATATCGAACCTCAGCAAAACGCATCTGACACGAATTCGAACGCTAGAGGATAGCAAAGAGAGACATCAATATTTAATATGTTCATCCTGAATGCCTGAAACAAAGGATTTGTTTAAAAAGGAATATCCGCCACTGCTGCACCTGCCGAGTCTGTGAATTGATCAACACCAAACGAATTACCCTAATAATGGATCCCCCGAGCACACAAGTGCCACCTCGTTAATATTCATATTAAAACAAAGTAATGACAAATTTAATGCCATTCCTTTCAATCGGCCAAATTTATATATATATATAATATATATATAATATATATATAATGAATTTGACACACACATTGAACATTTTATGGTCTCGGGTGATTACTGGACAGTAACGCAGGACATAATCATTGCTGCAAACCGGAGAGAAGGTGAGATCATTTCAGGAATTGTAACTTAGTGAGGCCAAACTTCCCAGTTACTTATCCACCTCTCTAAGTCCTGGACTCGCCTGAGTAACACTTGATGATACTTTGGACAAATGAACCACTGACTTTCCAGACCTCACCAAAGCCAAGCAGTAAAATGGCCTCAATTTCTCGGAAGCCAGTAATAAGACATCAACGTTGGTTGGTTTCTGACAATAAATTAAAACTACAGCAAATACGCTAAACATTCCAATTCTCTTTCCTGCAAACACCTTCCTTGTTGCTTCCTGTGAAAGATACGACAGGATTTTTCTGGGGCAGTATTCAGAGTATCTAGGCAATGGGAAGGCTCCACTAACATAAAACAGCTGCTAATTGCATACAGTAATTCATAATCTTTCACTAATCTCCAAGTCCCAAGAAACACAGTGAGGCCAGATTCACAAAAAAGGGCTGAGATGCTTTACAAGGCTGTAAATTCCAGTACAAACAGTCTGTTCTCACCCCCACTCTCACAGACTAATTTTGATCCATGCCAGTGAACAACAACAACTTGCATTTATATAACGCCCCAGAGCATTTGACAGTGATGGGGCATGAAGCCAAGCCGGGGGGCTGGGGGTGGGTGGGTGCGAGGGAGCAGGTGACCATAAAGCACGGTTGAAAAGGAATGTCTTTAGGCGCGATCTGAAGATGGGGGAGGAAATCTACGGAAGCTCCATTGATCGCAGGTTAAATCTTCTACTTCCCCCTCCATCTCAATGAGCAACCGCAAATCTCAAAACAAACCAGAACGACGATTTGTCAACTGCCCCGTTGTCAACAGGCTCTGTTTTTTTTGTAATAACTCCAAGTGCTCAGTTGCTCAGGTCCTCATTTTGCAGTGCCTGTTAATCCACTGTTTCAAAGCATTCAAAGAGAGGTAAATTCAGAGCATTTACACTGACAGCAAAGTCATCACACTGAGCCGTTAGTCATCAGCAAAATGTATTAAACTTCAATCGTTTCCGTCGACTGCCACAACACACCACTTTGGCTTTTCAGCAGCGGGCGATAGAAGACACACAACTGGAAAGCAGTGAATTATGGAAAAAAAAAGTGACTGAGCAGAGGTGAGGTTCACAGGTGCAACAGACACACATGCAAGTGGTCTATTAGATGCAATTGTCTACGGTTAAAAATAATGGTAAATCTTGCACTGGATAATAATAATCCTTGCACTTGATATAGCACCTTATCATGTCATTGAGATGTCTCAAAGCACTTCACAGAATATGCTGTAAATTGTATTGATTGT